GGCATCGAGCCCTGAGGTACCCCTGTCATTAGCTAGTGTGATTTAGACACCTCCCTAGAGTGGTTTCCATCTGATGTCCTACAATATGTTTACTGCAAATATGAGCCCATTGTGCAAACTTAGGGGAACAAATTTTGTGTGCTGTAAGTGAAATAAAGATTTGTAATGTTGGACATCTGTACATTACTAAATGCACAATAAAAGCATTAAACATTTATTCTGACAGGTGCATGTATCAATTTATTTTCTTAGCTGTATTTTATGACAGGTTTTTATTGTCATGTTGGATCATCATATCCCTATATTTTATCTTACAAGCACAGTAAATTAACTTACATCATAATGTCATTACAGTAATGAATTACAGTATGGTTTTATTAGGGGATTCTGAATCATTTTAATTCATTGCGCTAGCTGGAAGGCTATCGAATAAAGTATTGCAGTATTCTAGTCTTGAAATGGTAATAGTTTGAACAAGGGGGAAGTTCTGAAATTGAAGAATGCAAATCTGCAAGGCTAGGCAGTCAAAGCAATGCAGTGGGTGAAGTTAAGCTCATCATTAAACTCTACAACCAAGTTCCTGACTGACTTGCACGTTGTTAGTGTTATTCAGCCCAGCTGGACTGTGATGTTTTGTGGAATTGTCAGGCTGGCTGAGTTGCATATATTGTGTATATTGATAAGAAAAATGGGGCCAGGCATCGAGCCCTGAGGTACCCCTGTCATTAGCTAGTGTGATTTAGACACCTCCCTAGAGTGGTTTCCATCTGATGTCCTACAATATGTTTACTGCAAATATGAGCCCATTGTGCAAACTTAGGGGAACAAATTTTGTGTGCTGTAAGTGAAATAAAGATTTGTAATGTTGGACATCTGTACATTACTAAATGCACAATAAAAGCATTAAACATTTATTCTGACAGGTGCATGTATCAATTTATTTTCTTAGCTGTATTTTATGACAGGTTTTTATTGTCATGTTGGATCATCATATCCCTATATTTTATCTTACAAGCACAGTAAATTAACTTACATCATAATGTCATTACAGTAATGAATTACAGTATGGTTTTATTAGGGAGGCTTCAGCAGCTTGTTTAAAAAGAAAACAAACAGTGTAACAGCAAGTATGCTCTTGGAAAAGGCAAAAGTGTGGTGTATATGGGATTGGGGGTAAGTTTGATCGAATGCTATAGAGGAGGCACCTCTTCTGACTACCCATTTTGCATGGAATGTCTTGCCACTGTTTTGGTCAGCAAGATCTATGGATGGCCAAAGTGCTGCTCTTTGGGACAGGATCTCAGAAAACAGGAAGGGATTACAGCTGGCCTGAGCTGATATCATAGCTTTCTCTCTTCTCTCTTACGCCACCGCACTTAGCAAAAATAAAAAAAACAAAACAAAAAGGCATATGAGAACACCAGTGGAAAGAATGTGTCAGAGTTTGAATTCAGAGCAGGAGTCAGTGCCAGAGATGACCTTGCCCTTCAGAAAACTCAAACCTACCTGCAGCTAACAGGACACAGGGGTGGGGCTGCACAGATAATTGAAATGAACTGTAAATGTTGTCGACAACTACTTGAATAGGGCACATTATGTTGCACAGCAAATTTGGTGTGATGTTGACAGGATTAGCAGGCTCACTTCAAACTTGCATTACAACAACTTTTGAATTATGACATTTTAAGGCACCCTATTGGTTAAAGGGGTCATATGAGGCTATTTTAAAGATCATTATTTGGTGTATTTGGTGTAACAGAATATGTTGACATGCTTTAATGTTCAAACAACACATTATAGGAAAACTTGAAATCGCATCATATGACCCCTTTAAAAATGCAACAAATACTTTTCAACTGATTGGCAAGAAATTCCTTGAATATTTACACTCATGTTCCAAATCTGTGTCTTACTTTCTTACATGAAGGGATGAGCACAAATACATCATAAATTATTTTGTTACAAATTACAAATATTTGCTCATCAAATGTATTTAAATTTAAAATACAAAATAGTGGTGAGAGAAATGTATTTAATTAAAATACAAGTAATCTGTAATTTGAAAATACAAAAATACAAACAATAATTACAAGCAACCATTTGAAGTGCAAGAGACAGTGCCATTACATTTAGCAATACTGGAGTCAGATACACATATAAGAAAAAGAGAAGTGCTTTCCCCTCCTTGAACAACTTATAAACAACATAATTTAACCCTAACACTAGACAATATATCCAATATACTTATCCATATTTCTTCTCATTTCTTATGTTCACTTAAGACACAACCGACTGTGTATACTTGAATACCTTCAAGCATGTCTACGCTTTATTTTTTCATGTTTCTTTATCGCTCCTTTATTGTTTCTTTATCAGCATTTCAAAAATTAAGCAGTCCTGCGAAACTGTATTGTCATACCGCCTAATCCTACTCAAGAGGATGGCTCATTGTCAACAGTACAGATTAACTCCTAAAATGCTGATATGTAGCTGTTGAAGGGCTCTATGTAGAATTCAGAAACCCTTGTTATTAGCGACACAGGTGGCTGTTAAGTGAGCTGTGGTCAGCAACTTATTGCTCATGCTCTTGCACACACTCCATAGTAATGCGACCGATGGCCAATGTGATTCACCGACATCAGGTTCATTAAAGTTACACTGTTATGATAGTTTCCCTTGGATTTTCCCAGCGAAACTGCCCTGAGTCCTTCACATAAAAATTAGTCTACAGGCTGTAATTTTTTAAGTTTCGTTGCATGCTGTTCACACATTGGCAATAAAAAACGATTAATACTTGAAAATTATTTCATAAAGCCCCTTTAAATATTTCATTTTGTCCATAGAAACAAGTAGCTAACTTTAGCTAGCTAGCTAACGTCACTTGTCAGATAGCAAGCATAGTTGTAGAGCACAGCTTTCCCTTCTGTCCTGTAATAACATTCAGTGAGCAATATCTGATATGAAGATGAGTATATATTTTAGTACATAATTAGCCAGTTTGCACTGAGCACCAAAACAGCCTCTTTCATTGTTGTTGATGTTGTTGTTGTTTTTTCCAGTTGGAAGATGGAACCATGATGGAGTAATTAAAGGGATGGTTCACCCAAAAATGGAAATTCTGCCATTAATTACTCACCCTCATGTCGTTTCACACCCATAAGACCTTCATTCCTTTTCCAAACACAAATGGAGATATTTTTTTTATGAAATCCGAGAGCTTTCTGTCCCTCCATAGGCAGCAACACAAACTTACACATTCAAAGCCCAGAACGGTAGGAAAGACATTGTCAAAGTAATCCATGTGACTCCAGTGGTGTAACCTCAATTACATTTAGCGACGCAAGTGCTTTGTTTGCCTAAAAAAACCCCATAATTTACAACTTTATGAAAATATTGATCTGCATTGTGCGTTCATGAGAGCATCACAATGCATTTGTGTTGTGTTTACGCGATAGAATACTCGTCAACACAACGCACATGAGTGAGTATTCACTAGAGTACCACAACGGATGTGTTTGGATATTTTCGTAAATAAAGTGGTAAATTATGTTTTGTTTTTTGCGCAAACAATGCACTCATGTTGCTTCATGAAATTAGATCGCTTGATGTACTTAATGACATGGAGTACTTTAATGATGTCTTTCCTACCGTTCTGGACCTTGAATGTGTAAGCTGCATGGCTGACTGTAGAGGGACAGAAAGCTCTCGGATTCATAAAAAATATCTTCATTTATGTTCCGAAGATGAACAAAGGTCTTACAGGAGTGGAACGGCACGTGGGTGAATAATTAATGACATCATTTTAATTTTGGGGTGAACTAACCCTTTAAGACTCCGCCTATGGATCCAACGGGATGTCATATGATTAATTTGCATCTAGCCAAAAACTATGATAGGCTATAGCTGGCAGTGCTATTAACACAGGTGAAGAAAGGTATTGTATTATCTGAGAATAAAATAACCTACTTGATAAAGTATTTTAAGTATTTCAATTCTGTCTCTCAATGTATTTAGATTTTTTTATTTTATTATTTATTTTTGTCCAGCAAAATACAAATTACAAAATACATTTAGTTAAAATACTTCCGATCTCTGCTTACATGGAGCACAAAAGCAAAAGGAAATGTAAGGCTAAAAATACAACCCAGTCACCTTTTTTTTTTTCATTGTATGGAAAAAAAGATGCAATGAAGGTGAAAGATGAGGCTGTCATTCTGCAATTTGGGTTCTTTTATAAAGAGTACTTCTTATGGAAATAATATACTTTAAATAAATATACTTCAGTGTGATGTTACAGACACTTAATTGCAAGTTAATTTCAATCAAATGAAAATGCATTATAGTTTAAATGTATATTAAATGCAATCAGCTGAACTTAAGAGTGCTTTTTGACCCACTAATGTAGGACTTAGGTACAACTTTAGATGTAATTTGATCCTGTAATTCTGTCTATTGTCTTTGAACAAAGTATATTGTTGGATGTACTGACCAAGCAATTATGGTAACATAAAATACTTGTGTGTCATGCATTTAAATATATTTGTATTTACACTTAATATTGTAATGAAGTTCCAATTTTAACAATTAAAATATATCAACTAATATCAAATAGCACATATTACAGTTCAAATTATAATCAAGTGCTTTACATGTGCTTTAGTATGTTAACACATCAAAATAAGTGTACTTATTTAAAGCACAATAAAAGATTATTAAAACATTATTCAAAAATGTACTTTAAAGCACAACTTTTAAATTGACATTATTACCAAGTACATGTTTTAAATGTGTACTTAAGTGTGTTAAGACACATGGAAGTGTACTCTAAGTACTCTTAAGTGGCCTTTTATTAAGTAGTTATACTTTTAACATTTAAACACTACAAGAGCACATTCATCAGTACAGTTAAACTTATTTTTCACAAGGGATCCCTTTGACTACCATGTAGTATGTTATACTGTAACCTAGCACACGTTAATGTCTCTCTTCTCTGTGAATAGCAGATTACAACAGCAGTGATCAGAAGACCGCCTGCAGAAAGCATGAACTGTACGTCAGCTTCAGAGAACTGGGCTGGCAGGTAACGATGAAGGATATGTGCATGCTCAATATTACAAATCTCAAACTGGAGCAGCCTTCAGTGGAAAACAAACGATTAATTATCCTGAACGAGTGTTGAATCTAGTTTATGATTATTTTTTAATGTGAGCAGCCTTTTTGATTTAAATATGTGTGTTCATCAGGACTGGATTATTGCACCTGAGGGTTATGCAGCAAACTACTGTGATGGAGAATGCTCATTTCCCCTAAACGCTCATATGAATGCTACTAATCATGCTATAGTACAGACACTGGTGAGTCATGATTAATAAAATAAACACCAGACCTAGGAGAACAAGTATTTTTAAAGTTTGTTTCACCACAGTGAGTGTAAAAGATATCTTGCTCCACTTTTCAGGTCCATCTAATGAATCCAGAGAACGTTCCGAAGCCATGCTGCGCTCCCACCAAACTGCATGCAATCTCCGTGCTTTACTATGACGACAACTCCAATGTCATTCTGAAAAAATACAAGAACATGGTGGTGCGCACATGCGGCTGCCACTAACACAAGGGACACTTGCCGTCCTGCCCAACTGCTGCACCGCAGAGACAGAGACAAATGTTTATGAGGACTGACAAAACTAAATAAGACAGACAAAAAGCAAGCATTATGAACAAATGTGAGAGAATGTCTTGACGGTGGATCCAGGTTTGCTGCTTCTCATCTTTCCACACACGGCCATTTGACGTGACATTTCGGATCCTACAAACTGCCAAGAGGATGTTCGTGTGAATCTATAAACAGAAAATGAACTTGATGCCTTAAGTCTAAATCAAAGACACAAAGAAAATGTAAATTGTGAGCTAAAATGCTGTATTTAAAAATGTGTCACTTACCAAATATTTAAAGGGGGTCGCATCACGTTATAATTTCCTTTTCTGAGGTTCACTTGTGTTACAAAACAGTCAAAACAATTCTTCGTGACTATTTTCCACCCTCACGCTGACCCTTGGAATTAAATGGGATACTTTTTGCTGCTGTGCCTTTAGGACTAGACATTGTATCTTTCTGATGTTTGAAATTTCTAGAAGTTCAGAACAAATAATTTTTTTTTGCAGCTTTCAGGAACTTCCTCCCTAATATAAATAGACGATTTGAGTTCTGAAAGTTACAGTAGCTCTTTTATTTCAAAGGAAACTTTGATTCCTCATGATATGACCTCTTTAAGATTTAAAACTTATGAATTACTTTGTCCCAAAGCACAGAAATCACAACAGGATATTTTTTACTGCTTTCTGTATTTTTGATGAAGTCACTTAAACCCACAGGACTCTATTTTGGGTCTCAAAAACTCAAATTATTTTAAGTTTCTCAATATTTGCTCTGCACTACCTGTGGTTTGCATCAGCGAGTCAGAGCGAGTGGTTACACACTTCAACAGAACTCAAAGAACGGAACCATTATACTGCCGTTCCAAGGATGGAACTGTTATTTGATGCCATCTGACACCACAGATCTATAATTTCCCTGCAACACCTGCACCTCGAATGGCTTACGTCCAAAACTTCCCATAAGACATGAGGACCTACAAATAATTTGTTTTTCAGCAACAAAATTTTATTCTTTGCCATTGTCCTCACATGGGCTGTGGATTTTGCACCAGCTCATGTCTATTTACTGTCAAACTTTTAATATGCAGCTGTCCATTTATTTATTTTTTTTCCCACTGTGAGCCGCTTAATGGTACAAATCTCTCTGGACAGAGTATATATATATGTGTCTATTTTCATAATTATAGCAATATCTTTTGTTTTTCCCTGGTTTGTAATTTGGGAATCGATAATCGCTTTCATTTTTTAATACGAATACTGAAACCAAATAATTTGGTTACATTTATAGTTTTGGAACATCATTATTCTTCCACTGATGTGAATGGAACGCTTCAGAAAATATGCTAATTTTAATGCTGTTTGCACTCCCATTCATCTCCCTGACACAGGACCCCAACAGACCAACAAGATCATGCCAAACAGCCAAACCTTGACTACCTGGTTCACACTGACAGGGGTCACATCACTAGTTGGTATTAGGTCGTACTATTGGTTGCCAGTAGGCAATTCTAATCAGCTGTACTCAAATTCCGCCCCAAGAATTGATTCTGAGGGTACAATTAATGTCAACTTTTTACAATTCATATCCTTAATTATATCACATACCTCCCACAAACTGCTGTTTACATGTGTCAACCATTTTTGGATGCTTGTGTGTAAATACTTGTACATTTTACAGTTTATTTATTGTTCATTTTATGACTCATATACCATCACATAACAAGAGTAAAGAAAAAATTAAAAACTGCTATTTTTGGAAAAAGACAATTTATTATGAAATGTGTCACAATGTGCCTTTTTTGTACAAAAACCCCCACGCAGTGAGTGCACCCCTCTCACACAGGACAAAAATACTGCATTTTTCACTGAGGTCGGCCTTGATCATGTGCCTCTCATAAAGACTCCACTGAATATATGCGGTTTCTCTGATTGCTTTTCCCTTCCTTCTCTTTCAGATCCAGTAAAAGAAAAAAAAAAACATATCGGTGTGGGAATATTTGAAAGGAAATATGTAAATTACATTTGTTTAAATCAATGAAGCCAGTGGAGAGCATCAGAGAAGACATACAACTCAATCAGTGTTCTTCAAGAAATGATACCGGGCCACGCTAGTGTTTTAAGCAGTTCACTAATAACATTGAAAGTGGTTGACTGCATGTGAAAGCCATCAAGAAAGCATCAGGGAGGGGAAAAAAGTTTCTAACAGTCTAAAAAGACAAATCTAGTCAAAGGAAAAATGACGGGAAAAATAAAAACAAAAAAGCTACATCTGCAGAATAAACAATAAGGAAAAAATACTGTACCATAACTCCTTTAACGTTTCACAACCTCTAATGTACTTCAAAGTAAACCGTATTTCCATAAACGGTCACTATACAGCAAATATGATCGATTTTGCATTTTTACCTTGCTGAGTATTGAGAAATTTAATTTAAAAAAAAAAAGTATTATATAACAGCATTAGGGATCTGATATGGCTCTGCTCCATTCATATGCCTATACACCAAGAAGCTTTATAAGACAAATTAACCAAAAGTAGTTAAACAAATGTCATCCTTACTGAAGAAATCTGGTTAAACCAGCCGAATGTGGTTTGCTGGCCATTAAGCTGGTTAAGACTGGCCTGGTTTGATACTTATGGCAAACCATCTGAACCGTTGCTGGTTTAAGCAGGTCTCCCAGTTTGACTAACAAACTACCTTAGCCTGGTTGATTTTTTTTTTTTATCCTCTGAACAATACAACCTATTCAAAACCTAAAGACCACAACAGAAACATTTGAAACCCCAATAGAAAGACCACGTATGTGGTCAAAGTGCTGTTTGCAAGTGTGTATCATATAGTATGTTATACTGAATGGAGTAAAAGGGAAATCACAGCAGGTACATGTCATTGTTTTCTTAAATGGTACATGGTCTCCCTGAGGTCATATTTTCTTATTGGATAGCAAACCAAGCTGAATTCCCTCAAATATAACTGACATTTGACATTTACGAAATATGCACCTTAAATGATTTAATGATCTTAATGGAAGTGTCATTTTCTTTACATCATACAACTGTTCTTTTAAGGGAGAAAGGGCAAAATCAAAAGTCTGTGGTTGTAATTGCTAATAATCTCATCAACTGGTCGAGATGAAATCATGTGGAAGAGATGGTCCTCACTTCAGCAGGTGAGGGACAGAAATGAAGAAAAAGCAGTCTGTTTGTCAGTATGGTAAATGTAGGTAGTGTTGCTTTGTGGAGGATGTGTTGTGAGATGGAAAATAAGGGAGGAGTTACAGCTCATCTCTCGCTTGTTTCAGTACAAAACTGTGCAAACTCTCTAAGTCCCGCCCACCATTATGCTCCTCCCCCTGTTGCCCTGCCCAGAACATCAGGAGAGTTGGGTATCCACGCACCTATAAAAAAAACAATGATCAAATATTTACATACATTATGACTGTGTGTAGTAATTAAACATGAAGCCAAGCCAAAACTGCATCCAGTCTGAGTAGCTACTAGGGCTGGGCGATTTTTTTCAATTTTATCGATTAATTCTAATTTAATGTTTTGCCACGATTTAATTTTTTATAAATCGAGGAATCACGGTTTTGAATAGAAATATTACCAAATGTTAGAATTAGACACTTTGACAATATGCCAATGTTAACAGTAAAGAGAAAACAATGACCCAACCGCATGTTGCGCACGTGATTAACCACTCACGTGACTCGCTCTGTGAAGGACCATAAGGTGCCATTCACACAGAATGCGCTTTTGTGTTGACAAAGATGCGACGCGGGCAGTGGAATAGGAATAAATGCAGGAAGATGGGAGCTGAACTTCTTTTAACTTGAGCGCCGTGTTTTTAGAATGCCGTTTCATGCATGAGACGCTGCAAGAGACACGAGCACAACAGTCAAACGCCTCCATGTCTACATAGAAAAAACAATGGAAAAGCAGGGTAACCGAATAAAAACCTGTAAAGAACTACTATGTATGATATTTCATGTTTGCATCATGAGGACAGGCTGAAAGCTGCTGTTCAGTGTTTTTACAAATCATTTATTGTTAGTCTACTGGTGTTATACCAGTAGTTACATTTTCAAGTTGACATCTTAAAAATCGAGAATCGGTCAAATGTTCTGAAAAAAAATTGAGATTTTATTTTTTTGCCACATCGCCCAGCCCTAGTGGCTAATACATTTCATTTGGAATAAACTTTGTGAAAGGAAAAAAAATATTTTTATAGCATGAATGTAAGTTGTCTAAACAAAATCTGGATGCACTATATCCACTATGTTGGCTTTGCCATGTGACCTTCTGATTTTCGTCATTTCACTGCCATTCACAACTCAGGGATAGTAATGTGTGAACAGGATACACACTTCAAAATGTCAATTGAAGTAGTAGGTCACACCATATGTAGAGCGCTCCAAATAATTCAAGTTATGAGGTTCCGTTTATGTTTGTTTGTATATAAATATAAGTTATATAAAACTAATAAAAGTAGACTTCTTATTGTGTTATCTGTATATGCAGTGTATGCAGTAAAAAAAGGACTCTTAGCTAAAAGCTTTATCAAAAGTACTAAAACAAAAATCGTTAATGGAAGGATTTGTAAGTGTAACTAGAATCTTTAGACGGAATGGAGCTGTAATCTTTATGGAAACATTTGTTACATTTCCTATTCATAGTAGACAGCAAGGCAGCACACTAGTTTTTTGGAACAGGCTAAAGAATGTCCTAATTTAAAAAAAAAAAAAAACTCTCTGCCACTAATATGAAGTTATGTTGACCCCATCCCTCAAACATCCACAATCCACAAGACTTAGTTACTCTCCCTGCCACCCATCAGTGGATTTCCAGACTAAATGAGCTGCACTCACAGAGTATCTGTTGCAGAGCGTTCTCTCCACGGTGCAGTCCACTTTAGCAATCTTCACATCAGTCAGACCAGGAAACTCCTTTTTAGATAGATCCTCCCAGGTAGGGGCCAGGTTCTTGCAGTGACCACACCTTAAACACACATCGCGTGAGTCGCTGAACAACTACTAAGGAAACATTAAGATGATAAGAGGCACAGATAGGGGAGGGGAGTACACTGTGTGCGTGCACGTGGATGTACACACAAACATGGGAGTCTGTCACTGCGCAGGGTTTGGCAATGTAGCTTAAAATCATTAAATGGAGAATCAAAGTGTTTGTGATATTTATTACACATAAGAAGTTACTGCTAGTTTCAAAATTAAAAACTAACACCCCAGTTTAAAAATATAAACTATTCTTCTCTACCCTTCTAAAATGCCTGGATTTGAAATCCATCAATTTTTTCAAGTAGTTATATACTGAAAAAGTGCACATCAGGTTCAATTTGACAGTGTTCAGTTTGAAAAAAAAAAATGCATTTCATGACCCCTTTAACAAAAATTGTACGTATCTGAACATTTGAATCACCATTTGAAAACAGCAATTGTGCAGTTTTAAAACTCAAAACATTTAATAAACTAATATTTAATAATAAATAAATACATACAAACAAATCTAGTTACTTGAAAAAAATCTAAATTTACCCGTCAAGAAAAACAACAATGTATTTTTTAATAAACTGCATTTTGCAACTGCAACACTTAACACACAACTTAAAGCCAATCAGAATAGAGTACTCAGACAGACTATGGTATAATCAAAAGTACATTCTCTCTAAAAAAATAAAATAAAAGTCAAGCCATTTTGCTTATCAGGAACTTCTTTCATTTATACTATACTTTAGATATTTAAATGGAAAACAAAAACACTTACCAAGGTTCCATTTTTAAAGTATTTTAAAGTATTCACTCATCCCTATATATAACAGTTAGATCTGGTCCTCTAATTTTACTTCACAAATGACATGATACTTTTTCTGTAACTGCAGTAAATTTGTCACTTTTAGTATCACTCCACTTGATCCTGCTTTGGCTTCTTTTAGAACCATTTATATTGGCAAAAAATCAATAATACCTGTAGTGTTTTTGAAATTTCAATTACACCATGTTCTGGTTCATACTGCAAGCTGCATAAATATATAGTACTAAAATGGATTTGTGGAAATGAATCACTTCTAAACTCCATTGCCATATTTGTTAACTGAGTTGAAACCAAAGGCAGCACATCCTGAAAAATACTTAAAGACCTTAGGAGACTTACTGCACAAATTAAAAGTGTATTAAGATCACTAAAATGTTAATGCTGCTCAGGGTTATTATCTAAATCTAAAAACATATGTTAATTGAAATAAAGCTGCAATAAAAGTATTAGATGAAAACTAAAACAACACTAGTTGCAGCACATTTTGGTTGCATGTAACTTTTATATCATGTTTCTCGTTAACTAATGTGTTAATTACACTAATAGCACAAAATGTGTCACGAGGCAGAACATACTCATAGTACAACCCCTAGAGAATCTCCGCTGGTGATCTTATCCTGCTGAAGTTTAAATACCTCTCACTGGATGGTTTCCTTAATTACAACACCAGTTCTGAACATTTGTTTAAGAGCAAGGTCTCATCTCAAAGGTATCAGCAACGGTTTACAAGCTTTTAAAATTTTCCTCCAACTAAAAAAAAAAAGCAAGAACTCGGAAACAAAGCTCTTAAGGGACACTCTTTAGCCATGCAACAATTCCAGCCTGCCAAAATCCCTTTATAAAAGACAAGCTTAGACAGGAAAGCCAATTAACAAAGCAAAATAACAGCCCTTAATTTCCCCGCCCATCCCTTCCACTCCGGCCCACCAACCCACGCGCACGCACACATGCACATTTGCATCAGCAGGAGGAAATAGCTGCTCTGCCCATAATTACTACCTCAGTTTCAAGATGCAGATTTGTGTCTAAGGGCCCAAGTCTGCAGCTCGCTGTTCAAACATCTGCCCGCACACAAAAACGAATAAAATCTCTATGGTGCCAAGCAGGAAATCGAAAGCAAAACCTGTATTGTGCAAAAACTAAAACAGACACACACCTCTTCTTTGTCAGGTTCAGCGCTGGGTGGGATTTCGTGAGTGTGCTCCTCCTCTTCCGCAGGTTCATCTTTAGACTCTGCAGCTTTCATGTGACTATCAACAAACTCTTTAAATGAATCCAGATCACGTTTTCCTCTGTACTGATCAATCTGAAAACATACAGCATGCGCACAGCTACCGTTACTGTTTAGTGTAAACACTATGATAACTAATGGACTTAGGTTAACATTCTTTATTCATGACATATAGTTACAGTCAGTGTTGGGGAAAGTTACTTTTAAAAGCAATACATTACAATATTGCGTTACTCCCTAAAAAGTAACAAATTACGTTACTTAGTTACTTTTTATGGAAAGTAATGCGTTATATTACTTTTGCGTTACTTTCGCGTTACTTTTTAAATATAAGCAGGGCTTGATTGTTTTTAATATAAGAAGTTCTATTTATAGATAATATAAAAGCCCTTTCACACCAAAAAGTGTAATGAATAAACCTCAGGCTGAAGCAAAAGTAAAATCATGTCTGTACAGTAGAACGCAGGAGAAGAAACACTCTTCAGCAATAAAAAAACAAAGCACAATTGTTAGTTTCTCTGAAGTCATTTTTGCTTGTTAGTATGGTTGAACTGGATCATCAAAGGTCAGCAGCAAAAATATTGGTTAATAAAATGGGATTAGATACATTTGTGTTATTTAACATATTTATTGCAGGTTTGTGTCATATTCTGAGTTTGCATTTCACTGTTTTAATTCATTTTGATGAATACTAAATCTGTTTTTTGTGAGTGGGATGAATTAATGCACATTCACATTTAGTCTAGAACTACAGTAACATCATGTTCACACAATGCACACAACGCCTCTGTACTCCCGATTTCTCCCAATATGGGGACAGGAGAGCTGTCAGTCTATAAATGGGAAAAAAAAGTAACTGGCATTACTTTTTTGAAAAAGTAACTCAGATATTTTCTTGTAAATTAAAAAAGTAATGCGTTACTTTACTAGTTACTTGAAAAAAGTAATCTGATTACGTAACTCTCATTACCAGTTACCCCCAACACTGGTTACAGTTTGATTTGATTATATGGGATCATTACAGTTTTACAAGTGAAAAATAGTGCAGGAATTTCCTTCCATGGTTGTGAGGATGTAGGAAGCATAGAAAAAGTAACAGAATATCTGAAAATGAAAAAACAGGGTAACATCTGGGGTAATGTTTTTTTTTTTTTATTAAGTTTTATTCATTTTTTTTTGTATTAAGTTATTCAGCAAGGATGCATTAAATTGATCAAAAGGGACAGTAAAGCCTACATGCTCTTTTGATCTTTCGATTCATCAGTTTCCACAAAAAAAAATATTAATCAGTACAACTTGCAATATTGATGATTATAAATGTTTTTTTTTAGCACCAAATCAGCATATTAGAGTGATTTCTGAAGGATCACATGACACTGAAGAGTGGAGTACTGAAAATTCAGCTTTGCATGACAAGAATAAATTAGATTTTAACATATGGAAATGGAAAATATTTAGTTACTTTAAATTGCAGTTTCACAGCATTGGAGTTTTACTATATTTTTAATCAAATAAATGCAGCCTTGGTGTGCATAAGAGACTTCTTTAGCAAATCTTACCAACCTCAAACTTTTGAACAACAGCATGTATACACACTGATATTTATCTTAAGAAATGATTCCACTCTAGATATTCTTACCTTCTCTCCATCAGTGAAGAAGAGTAGCGTGGGATAACCACGAACCTGATTATCTGAACACACCTCATAGTGCTGTGTGCAATCAACCTTTAGCAAGCAAAATATATAAATATCAGAAAACAGAAGTCAATTTACAATACAGAAAAAAACAAGAGAGAAACCACAATGGCCTCTCTCACCTTGCCGATCTTGATGGTGTCTGAATGCTCAAAGCTGGTGGCGAGCTGTTCCCATGTTGAAGCCATGGCTTTGCAGTGCCCACACCACGGTGCATAGAACTTCACAAAGTGAGAACCTGTAGAAGACAACTGCAGGGTTACAGCCTCAAAATGCAACAAGAACCCATGTCTCAAGTAGGATAACATGGACTACATAATGGCTTTAATCATAACTGATCAAAATGATCGCAGATTACAGAAAATGTGGTGCTGCAGTGCAGACTGCACATTTATGCACGAAGAGAAGGAAATTTACAGTGTCATCTCACGGCTAAACTACTTCACAGTCATGCCACCCACAATGATGTTACAAGAAACATCACAAATTGTGTGAATTATGTGTACACAGTACAGCCCTGAAATGTGGAAATATATTAATTTAGCATGATGTGTACATTAAATGAAGATGTATAAGCAAAACTTTTGGTTATTAGAGTTAAGCAACATCATTAACATGTGCTTCCAACATCTGAAGCTGGGAGACATAAACAGTTCTGTAAAAGCCAGAGCATCATTTCCTGCCTCTCCTCCAAACAGGAATCATTTATTTGGCTAACGGACGGAACATGTAACATTTAAAGGGTGTTTGAGAAGAGGGCTGAAACTGTACCAAAGCCAAGACCATAATTCACCTCTTCTGGCAAAGTTATTGTCATAGAGAGAACCTTACGGGAATAACAGAACCCCAATTAAAATCCTGATGAGTGCTCAATGAAAGTGCAGAAAAGCAGGAGCTCTTATAATTTACAGACACACACAAAACAATAATAATAACAACCTACCTACCTACAATTAATGGCAAAAGAAATGTTTAGAAATGTAAACTGATATTTCCTACTGACACACTACAGCAAAATATAGAAAACATTTACTATTGATTACAAGATTGTATTTAATGTCATGATGTTTTCAGTCATGGAAAAGTCTATTTTAAAATGTTGTTATATTTTCACATTTTCCTTAACTGTGTGTCCATGTGTGCAGGGTGACAGTGAAGTAGTGACTTTTTGTTTAAATGCTTCACTTTCAAGATGATGAATTTGTAACTTAACAGTTATACAAAGCTGTAGAGAACTTGATCAAATATAAAAAAAAGACTAAAGCTAATTTTCTTCTAAATAAAGTTAAACAATCAACCCAAGCTGATACAACATAGTGGTATTAAAAAACAATTATCATAACGTAAAATATTATATCATTACTTTGTAAAACAAATGAATCGTCAATCAAAATTGAAATATTGTTAAAATGGGTTGTGGGCTACTACTACCTTTAGAGATGTGTGATTTGAAGTTTGTGGCTGTGAGTTCATACAGGCCCTGTTTGGGTTCAGGGACTTTGGGTGGCTCGGGTTCAGTCTGAGGTTCCTGGGGTGAGATGGGGAAAGACCAAATAAGAAGTGCTGTAATATTGTGACATTTTAGAATTACACCTTGACCATGTCCATGTATTACACAAAGCACTTTTAAAAGCCAATATAAGAATATGTTTCTAGTCATACAAATATTTTAGCAGTTTTATGATCTTACTTCCGGTTCATCCTGCAGGGTTTTCAGCATCCAGCTCTCTAGCACCTGCAGGTCTCTCGGGCCCTGATACTTCACAGTCTCCTGATCAGGTTTAAACAACTTCAGACTGTAAAGCAAACACAGAGTTAGTCAGTCAATGACTAATCAAACCACATATAATTTTTACCTTAGGCACATGACTGTCAGGTGATTATAAATCATGCATATGAAATGTTTTACACACACACACAACATCTAAATCATTTTACTGTCATTCTGCATGAAGCATCTTAAAATGTGTCTTTTTTTTGTTACGTACAGTACTACTAACGGAGAAGTAATGCTTACGTTGGGTATCCACGGATCCCATGTTCACTGGAGCAAAACTTTGTGTCTTTTGTGCAGTCGAATTTCACAACATACACTGGAGGAGCCTCCATACTGTTATATTTATCTGCCAGCTCATTCCACGTTCCCTGCAGCCGCTGACAGTGACCACACCTGCACACCACAAACATATTCAAACATATTTATCACATCATTAAAGGGGTCATCGGATGCCCATTTTCCACATGTTGATATGATTCTTTAGGGTCTTAATGAAAAGTCTGTAACACAGTTTGGTTCAAATTTCTCAATGGTAGTGTAAATAAACACCTTTTTTACCGTAAAAAACAGCTCTTTTCAGAGCAAGCCGTTTTGTAGCATTTTCCTTTAAATGTTAATGAGCTCTGCTGACCCCGCCCCTGTCTTTCGAGCCGCTCTCTGAGGAACTGTTTACTTTAGCCGCATTCATCGTGAAACTTGCTAATTAGCACATTATTAGGAAAGGCGATTTGCAAAGATTCATTAAAAAACCTTATACTCACTTCTTCTGTAGGTGAAGCTGGATCACGAATGATTCGCGCGAACATAGACGCATTTAATGACGACTGCTATGTTCATTATTACATCCAATAACAGAACATCTCAATCGCTATGGAGCCATTCTTGTCTACATCTGGTCCGGCGGTGAAACAATGGCGGACTGATGACAGCTCACTCAGGGCGGGTCTAAGGTAGGACGCCAGTCCAGTCTGTGCTGAAACGCTACTGTCAATCAAACAATTGCGGGAGGGGCCTGTTTTGTGACGTCACACAGACAGGCATCTGAGATTGGCTCGATTTGAGAAAGGGGTAAAGATTTTACTAGATAAAAAAAAAAAAAAACATTGGGGGGGTTTTTATCATTATAGGGTGGTTGTGTACACACACTGCCAGTTCAGTTCAAACAACTCGTAAAAATGCATGTAGCATCCGATGACCCCTTTAAACTATTATTCCATCACATATTACAAACGTTTCACAAAATCCTTCAAATCCGTTAAAGGATTGTTAGGCTGCATTAATTACGTCAACCGGAACCGGGAACATTTCCCATAACACCCGATGTACTCGCTACATTGTAAGAAGAATGGCATCCACAGTAATATTAGTCTCTTTCATTCTTATTCTGAGGTCAACAAAGCCATACGGATCCAGTCCATACCCAGATCAGATGGAGATAACTTCTATAGCCCTGAATGACAGATCCCTTGTGAAGACCTCATCACCTCGACGACCATTGGCACAAGACCATGGGAACCAGAGGAGTCCT